TAGAAAGCTTTTCATATATCATTACTGTTACTGATCAAGCTAGATAATAGATTAAAATTAGAGGATATTGGTGGTATATTCAAATTGTGTATTGTATTAATGTTGTTGATTATAGTATTATAGTTATAGGAAATAGGTGTTTGATTTCTAAGACAGTGTAAATATTATAAGAAACAATTAAATTTTTTTGGTTTGTAGACAAGATTTTAAAAACAAGTATGAAAAAATTAGTAGGTCCTCATCTTATCCTTGCTAGTTAGAAAGTTACAAGAACAAGAGAGTATGAATGGCTGAATTTTAGTATTAAAAGGTATGTTCTGTCTATTGACAACAATTAAATTATACAATTTTTTTTCAAATACTTATCATTTTATAATAAAAAAATTTATTTGAACTGTTATTTAGACTGAATGATCAAAAGAAGAATATATAAAACTCCTTTATTTAGCAAAATTAATGCTAATGCAATAGCAAACTATCACTCCAATTGTCAAAAAATATATCTCAATGTTTTGAAAGATACTAGAGATTGTTTGATGAAGCAGAAGCTAAAGAAATGAATTTGACTAGACTGGCAGGTGATACAGATCTGAATGCTGAAGACATTCAAAAACTTAGACCTGGAGAAATTGATTCTGATCCAGAAACAAAGTCTGCAAGACTCGATCCTGTCAATATGGATGAAGATAGTATTGTTAATTTCTTATTCTTATTATTCTTTATATTATTCACAAAATTTATATCCCTTTAATTTTTTTCTAAAATTAAGCATAGAAGGAAATATTATCAGAGGCTCATGCTAGATTAGCCAATACTCAAGGCAAAAAGCGAAGCAAAAGGCATATGAAAAGCAACTAGAAGAAGCTTAACATCTGCTTCGAAAAAAAAAGATCTGAATTAAAAGCTGCAGGTATTAAATTTAGGAACATCATTGTGAAGTTCATATTACAATACAGATCTTATGAATGAAACTTTATAAGTATATTCAATCTTTAAGACAAGATCATGTTAACGAAAAATTTAGCAAAAGGTAAATCTTTTTGCTAAAAAGTAAGTGGCTTATAAATAATATTTAATTTAACGATAAGTGGATCAAACCAAAAATTTTTTCTACCAAAAAACAAATAGCGTAAAAATAAAAAAAATAAATAAGTCGATTTAATTATTGTTAATTTTAAAATATAGAATTCAACCTAGAGGTTACATTTATAGTAGAGACGATATAGGTGAGTCAATTCTTTCTAAGCACAACTTCTAAAGACTAGATTTTTGTTAACATAAATATTGCATTTATAAGAATCAAGTATATATCTTGTTCAGAATTTGAAGTTTCATTTTGGGAGCTTGTCAACAAAGTGATAGGACAATCATTATTGTGAGATCAGATAACTTTATCACAGTCTCATGAAAGTTTATTTATGTTGGTAAATTGTTTTGAATTGAGGTTCAGTTTGTTTAAGCAAGCGCAGGTATTGGGCTGGCAGTAGCAGGCAGGCTTGGTGTTGGTAATAGAGGCGGCTTATGCAATGTTAAGATATTTAAAGGTTTATAATTAATGTAGATGGTTATTTTTTTTCACTATTGCTTGCCTTGAGATAGAAGGCTAACATACTCCCAGTACCACATTCCAATAATAGATAACTAGATTAAAAAAAAAAGGGCTCCATGGCTGCAATGTCAGTGCAAAGACCTTTTATGTTTAGGATCTACAGCTGCAGACGCAGTGCAAAGACCTATTTATTCTTTGCTATCCCTAAATGCTCTAGTCATATATTTATATACAATCTATTAAACTAACTATTACAATACATTTCAGCTATGGGGAAGCAAACAGATGATAGCTATTAAGAGAATCGATAAAGGAATATACCTACATGTAATACACTTAGTCTGTTGCTAAAATGCAGCAAGCCCCTTTCCCATATATTCTTTCATATATAGTTTAATAAAGTCTCTGATTGAGCAATAATAAAGGAAGATGTTGCATTTAGAGAAGTTGTACTTCAAGAAAATTAACCGTATGAATTTATTGCTTTTGATAAATTTTTACTGATCATGAAATAACATTTGCTACTTTTAAATTTACCAATAATAAATTGAAAATAATGCAGATATTTAACTTTGAGATATAACATTTGATATATAATTTCACACAATAAAAACTATTATAAATGATTTTAGTAAGTAAAATATCATTCAATTTATAATGGTTTAACATTCTGAGAATTAGTAGATTTATCATGTAACTATGAAATTTTTATTTGCAAATTACGAAGCAGTGTTCCAGAACCTAACAGATCCCATTTTCCTAGTTTATGCTACATATAAATTTCTTGCAATTCCTATAACAAGCACACCAAATAAATATACAAAAAATATTATGAGTGCAAAGAAAATAGTAATAAAACCAAAGTTATTTTAAATAATGATATTTCTAAACTGTAATATTATCGATTTTATTGTTTTCGATATTTAGAATTAATGTGTGTGTTTTTATAATATAAATTATAATTTGTGTAAATTAGATACTAAGTAATGTAGAGATAATAATACAATTGAATGTAGAGATAATAGTATAATTGATTAATTTAGCGTTATACTAAATTCTTTTATATATTTTAAAAAACTTGAATTTTCAAACATCAGTCAAAATTTTTTACCGATTCTTGAAAATCTGAAGGTTGTGACTAACAAATGCTTGAAACTCATCAATTTCAATTTCTATTGTTTAATTTGAAGAATAGTTAATGGGAGAGGAAATAATATTAACAAACTAATTAACTTTAAACAGCCTTACTTTTAAAATAAACTTGCTAAAACAAAATATCTTTGAAGTAAACTTGTCTTTAAAATAAATTGTCTTTAAATTAAACTTGTCTTTGAAATGAATTATCTTTGAAGTAAACTTGTCTTTGAACTAAACTTTCTTTAAATTAAACTTGTCTTCGAATTAAACTGTCTTTAAATTAAACTTGTCTTTGAAATGAATTATCTTTGAAGTAAACTTGTCTTTAAAATAAATTGACTTTAAATTAAACTTGTCTTTAAAATGAATTATCTTTGAAGTAAACTTGTTTTCGAACTAAACTTTCTTTAAATTAAACTTGTCTTCGAACTAAACGTGTCTATAAATTAACCTTATCTTTGAAATAAATTGTCTTTAAAATAGATTGTCTTTAAAATAAACTGTTTGTAAAATAAACTATCTATAAAATTAACTGTATATAAAATAAACTGTCTATAACTTAATTGTCTATTAAATAAACTTGTCTATAAAATAAATTGTCTATAAAATAAGCTTGTCTATGAATTGGTTGTCTATAAAATAAACTTGTCTATGAATTGGTTGTCTTTAAACTGAGGCGTCTATAAAATGATTTTCTATGAAATGATACGTACCCCTTATATGTAGATTTCCCTAAATAATAATTCAATTTAGTTACGTATCAATTGGTTATATTTTTTAGAGGAATGAGTCATTAAATTATAAACTCGAAAAGTTTCCTCCTGATTACAATGCAAACATTTGAAGATTATTAATTGGAAAATTTTTAAGTATAAGAGTCAATTTTCGTTCACATCTACTATTATTTGTTATCCATTGTTAAATTTAGTAAGCTATTACACGCACAAGACACAATTACTAATGTTTTTGACGATAATTACAATCTATTACAGCATTTACAACGGTTTCTAACAAACACTTTCCCGACAATTCACTTGCCCGACAAACCATTTCCTGACTTATTTCTTTCCCAGCACTATCTTTTCTCGACAGTATTAGTTTACCGACAATTAGTCTCCCGAAAAATCAGTTTCCCGACAAAATCTATTCATGACAGTATCACTTTCCCGACAATATCTATTTCTCGACAGTATCATTTTCCCGACAAATTGGCCCGCATTAGGTAAGGGTTAGGATTAGTTCCGGTCAATTTTGTCGGAATTTTATTGCCAAAGGTGTTGTCGGGGAAAATAATACTTTCAGGAAATAGATATTGTCGGGAAAGTGATAGTGTCAGAAAGTGATATGCCGAGAAACTATTTGTTGGTAAACTAATACTGTCGGGAAAAAGAAATTGTCGGGAAAGAAATAAGTCAGGAAAAGGTTTGTCTGTTGTCGGGAAATCGATAGAAATCCATAACTTATTTACAACTTTAAGCATTAGTTGTAATTCGTAATGTCGCAATTACTACTTACAGACGGCAACCTTAATATAGAAGGCTTTATTTGAAAGCAAGAACTTGATTGTCTTTTTGCTACGGATGAAACCCGCGCTGTAAATTAATAAAATCAACTATGTAGAAGGGTAAAATCAGCTTTTGCATAATAAAAAACATAGTAAACCCTATATACGAATTTAAATTTTTCATGGTCCATTGTGAATAGGAATGTTGACCGCTTAAGAAAGAACCATATTAGTTACAACCTAGCAGTTAACTACATAAAACTGATTTATAAAGCTAGTTTACTAGAGTCATTAAACTATTTCGGCTCAATCAGCAAGCATTTTGATAGTATTTTGATTATTAAATACATTAATTATGTAAAAGTTACAAACTGTTTATGTAGAGTTTATGGTTTTATGACGTATCAACAGACTGATAAGCCAATTAGTTAAAACGGGATTGGTTTAAACTATAGCGGTTTGAGTCCCGAATTGAGTCAATATAATTCCATTTTAACTACTTAAAATTCCGAATTACGAAGAATATCCGGTTGTGCAACCATACAGTAGAAAAGAAAAAGGGAAATGTAATCTTTGATTCACCTAATAGAACTTTATTTTTTTCAAGGTGATTATAAGCCTAAATTTGAAAGCATAAGATACAAATCACGTATGTGCTACTTTAAATGAAGTTCCATTTATCGCTATGATGCGTATGTATATATACATAATTACGGAATTAACTTCCGAAATGTAATATATTCACAAAACCACCTCTACCGCATTCATTAATAGTTGTTGTTTTTAATATTCAAAAAAATTTACAAAGCAATGAAAACTTTTTTTATTTTATTCACTATCTTAGGTATAATAATTCAAACTTATTGCTTTCCTGAGGGTCATCCTGAAGGTCGTGGTGGACATGAATCAGTTCAAGTAAATGACAAATTATACTTTATGGGAGGTTCCCGCCTAATCTCTCAATCAAATCCGAAAAGATATAATTTATCAAACGAAGTATTTTATCTAGACCTTTCATCACAATTTAATATTAGAAATCCACCATTTGTAGATCTTACTAATGGTACTTCACAAATGCTTTATGGAAATGAAAAAGGTTAATATTATTTTTGAATTATTCGTTCTAAGTTCCATTAATTATAATCATATTCATATTAATTATTATGTGAATTAGGAGCTGCAGTTCTTGGGGGATCTAATCGATCTGATGTCTACTTGATCGGTGGAACGCAGCTGAGACTATCAACATTAAATTGGAACGTCACGGACCAATTTATTTACATTTATAGAACTATTCCTAAAATTTGGACAAAACTTGAACAAGGAATTAAAGGGACTCAACCTTCAAGACGTAGGTCAACTTCAACAGTAATCAAACCTAATGGAACAATATATATATTTGGTGGGAGGGTAGAGCAAGATATGGGGTCAGACACGCTTATTTTATATAATGATTTGTATGAATTTGATACAATATTTTTGTCATGGAATCAAATAAAAGTAGAAAATACGCCTTCACCTCGAAGCCATAGCACCGCAACATTGCTTCCAAATGGAAAAATTATTTATATTGGAGGTGTCTCTCAGGACACTCCTGGAAGCCAAACTAATTTAATCAACATGATGGAGGTAAATAACCATTTATTATAGCTTATTCTATGTTTATTTATCACTACATACAAATTTTTATCATAGATTCAAATTTTTGATACAATTTCTTTATCCTGGTCATTGCATGTACGTATGCATTTTTTTAATAATTAGTCTTTTAATCTATTGATATCTAGTATTTATTTATACTTAAATTATATTCTTTATAGACTGCAAACGCTTCATTTTCAATTCAACCACGAGTCGGACACACAGCAGTATTAACACCAGATAATAATTCAATTATTATAATGGGTGGAACTTCAAGTTATCAATTAAATCAAACAACAGTTTATCCAAATTTATTAAAGTTGGATGTTAGATTCGAACCTTATCAATATTTTACATTACAATCTTCTGGAAAAAATCTGCCACCACCACTATCCTTTCATACTGCTAATGTATATTCGGATTATATGATCGTTGCTTTTGGTTATTATCATTAATTTATTTTAGGTTATGTAAAATGTTGGCAAATTTAACTTATCATTCACCTTTTTTGAAAATAGGAAATATAATAGAACCCTAGCCAAGCGGAAAACGAAGTGTCGGGTCATGTGACTTCCGAAGCATTCGATCTGATATTTAAAAATCA